CACACATATATCTTCTTATTACAATATCTCTTGTTGTTACCAAGTTTGTTTGTGAGTCTTTATGAGCTGAGAGTCAATTCTATAAAAAGAGCATGGAATTTAAGCTTCCTCAGAAACCCATGAGATGGGTGGAGAAAGTCTTATAGCTGTGAGCAAAAGGGTAAAGCTTAGCAGCTGTGGGGAAGAAGTACACAAGAGCTGACACTATAAGAAGTTTTAAGGCTCAACATTTAGGCAATCAGAAAGAATAATGGAATCCGGAGACTAGAAGCAAAAGAAGGTAGTAAAACAATTTTTTTTTTTTTTTTTTTGAGACGGAGTTTCGCTGGTTACCCAGGCTGGAGTGCAATGGCGCGATCTCGGCTCACCGCAACCTCCGCCTCCTGGGTTCAGGCAATTCTCCTGCCTCAATCTCCTGAGTAGCTGGGATTACAGGCACGCGCCACCATGCCCAGCTAATGTTTTGTATTTTTAGTAGAGACGGGATTTCACCATGTTGACCAGGATGGTCTCGATCTCTTGACCTTGTGATCCACCCACCTCGGCCTCCCAAAGTGCTGGGATTACAGGCTTGAGCCACCGCGCCCGGCCAGTAAAACAATTTTTAAAGACTACAGAGAATGGCACTATTATTTTAAAGATATGTACAAGAACAAAATACATAACTACTGCTGTTTACATCTCCTGTGTGTAAGATAATGCTTTAGGTTATTTACCTGCATCATGCCTAATGCCTTTCAAAACGTGTTCATTCCATTTGTGAAGAAACTAAGTCTCTGGAATGGACTTACCTTCTAAACAGAAAGTCAGAAGTAGTCCTGCCAGAGACAAATGAGTTGTAGGTAGGCTTATGAGAGATCCATCAACAACAAGCTAGCTAGAAGCTTGCAAGGTAAGAGGCAAAGGTTTCCGGCACACTGATTTCATCCAGTGGAAAGAAGGAATGTAATTTGTCATATGCCTACTATGTGCCAGATACATTTCCAAATGTCTTAAATATATTAGTTATTGAAAATCCTGCACGACAGGAATCACAATTCCTGATTTTATCAATAGGAATTTGAGGATCAGAGTGTCTAATATAACAATATCCGAAACACGAGACATTTCTTCTTCCCAGACATTTCTTACTATTACTGAGAAAACATTTTGAGCAGTTTGCCAGCAGAATTCCTCTCCAACACTGAATGACCAAGAGTCCTGCTTCCACAGTAACTTGGGGGAAGAGTGATAAGACCATCATCATTGGTGTAAACAATTCTTACTCACCCCCAGTGGAGGCTGGGTTGAAAGATCCCAGCCTTCACAAAGTATATGGTCTCACAGAGAAAAAACCAGCACTGTCCATAAAGTCAGCTTCCTCAGGAAGTATAAGAAATATTAGAATTTTTTCTACTCCTGACCATAAAGTCAGGAATTTTGGTGATAAATTGAATAGTGTAATAACTGTTATTCAGAAGATAGAACATATTACTTGAGCCCAGTCTACACAATTTCTAGTTTCTGTTTTCACAGCTGACTTAAACACTTTGTCTATAACACTTTTTTTTTTTAATTTTGTTGTCTGACAGTTATCTCATTTGCCCTGCATATTGGTGAGACTTAGATGAAGAAATATACGTACAATTCACCTATTTTTTTGTAGAGGAGCGAGAAAGATGAGGAGATAAGAATTTACGGCAACTAAAAAGGAGTTCACAATCATTAGAGAAAGGGACTTAAAGAGACTGTTAAAGTGGAATTTTCAGAATTATAAGGACATAAAAAGATACCTTCACTGCCAAAAAAAAATATTCACCTATTGACCTTACATTTGGAGAAAAGACATAATATGAAACATGAGGGAAGTAGGCAGCATGTAACAAGATATTGATATTTCTCATGTAACAACTTTTTGTACATTCATTAAAAAATTGGAAATTCTTTCAACTTTTATACACCACACCTTTAGAATAACCAATCGGTGTCTGTTTGCACAAAAACTTTAACTGTAAATTGTACCACTAATTTAGCTAATCAGGGAACATACTGCCAGTGTTGGGACTCAGAAACAATACCCCAAAATACGGCACTTTGGCAAACTGAGTACTATGAATTTAAAAAGTCTGGAAGCCTCAGAAGCAAAGTTCTCTCTGACCTTCTCCTGCCCTTCTTTCTCCCTTGAAGAAGTCGTAGAAACCAGAATTCCTCTTCCACTGTGGTTTATTACAAACTAGAACCCTTCTTCCCTACAAAGAGACATAAATATAAAAAGTTCACTTCCCTTCTGCCCTGAAGACCCTCATTCTGCAAGTGTCCCAGGCCGTACACTAGAGGAGGAGAATGCCATACAGAGACGCCAAGAAAAATCTGAACAGACAGGCCTTGCTGGGTTTCCCCCACCTCTGTCTATTACCATTACTATACACTTTTGTCCAATCACATTTCTACATGGCTGTCCATTCTTCACTGAAGCTCATCACGAATATAGACAGTTTTCCTCGGCTCTTTGGGCTTCATTTCTGAAGGCTCCCATGCAGCGTAAAATGTTGATAAAATAAATCCATTATACTTTTCTCTTGTTAACCTGTCTTTTGTTATAGGAGTGTCAGCTGTCCCCCTTATGACTGATGAGGAAAGATGTCACACCACTTACATCTTTACATCAGATACCATACAGATAGATTATTTTTACCTCCTAGCTTAAAAATAGATGTCATTAGAACTTAAAGTATAATTTTTAAAAATTACAAAAAAAAATCAGATGTCATTATTTAAAAGGATGGACTAAGAAGAATAGGTGAATGGCATTTTTTCTGGGATTGTGCCATTTTTTTGAAAAACTGGAAGAATATGACCTACTTAAATATCTCCAGAATTATTCAACTATAATTTATTTATAATTGAATATCTCAAATAAAACTTTATTTTTATAAACAAACTTAAAAGAATGAAATATTTGAAGTTATTTGTTCATAACACTGCAAAATATATTACATTATCTAATGCAACCGTGTCCAATCAATCGTATGTTCAACATTTCTGGTTAAAAATAATAATATATGAAATGAATCCTTTCTGCAACCAATTCAGGGTATTTACTAATCCTCTTAAGCCAATTCCAGAACACCTTACATGAATGATTCCTTCTTTAGAATCTCACTTTATTTGGAAGGCCAAAATTATAAATTTCAGATCAATTACCTTCCTTATTTACCAGTCTTAGCAGCAAGCGACTTTGGAGTATGTAAAAAATTAAACTGCAACCTCGAAGAAAAAAATTAGTCAGCTTTGAAAATATTTAACATAATACTATATACTAAGGTTTAAAAGCAATTAATTCCAAAAGGGTGGTTCTCAAAAAGTGTTTCTGCAATAGCAAGACTGGTACAGTACATAACTAGTCTACCAAGGTACTAACTTCTAAAGGAACAAACATGTTAAAAATGAGTCACCTTACTTAATAAGCGTATCTTGTGAGAGTAGCTCTTAAAGTTCAGTACTGAACATGATTTGGAATAAGACTGACTTGTAAGAACTTTGTGAACTTAATTTTCCAAAATGAAAGCCACCAATAATAGCCTGCCATTCCTTTCTGTTAAATAGAGTAAAATTTCACCTTCTGAACGTTGTAAACAAACAGAACAACTGAGAGACGGAACCAAGAAACACCTGAAGTTCAGCCAGCATCAGGCCTTATTTTAGCCAAACTGGTTTTGCAGTGAATTTTTCTATTAACAAGACTATCTAATTTAAAATTATTCCATTTTAGATAGAAATTATTCAATTTTATTATCTCAGGATATGTATTTTTTAACCGTATGAAAAGAATATCTTTAAAAGGGTTAGGGATTGGGTGAGGTGGCACCTGCCTGTAACCCCAGCACTTCGGGAGGCAGAGGCAGGTGGATAACCTGAAGTCAGGAGTTTGAGACCAGTCTGACCAATATAGTGAAAGCCCATCTCCACTAAAAATACAAAAAATTAGCCAGGCATGGTGGTGTGCACCTGTAATCCCAGCTACTGGAGAGGCTGAGGCAGGAAAATTGCTTGAACCCGGGAGATAGAGGTCGCAGTAAGCTGAGATCGCACCACTGCACTCTAGCCGGGGCAACAGAAAGAGACTCTGTCTCAAAAAAAAAAAGGGGTGGGGGTGGGGGTGGGGGTTAGGGACTTAACAATGTTGACACCGTTGTCATCTTTATATAAAATAGTGTGAAACTGTTAATATACTTGCAAAATGCGTATAATATATAAAGAAGCAGTTCTAATTTTTGAAAACCGTTAGAAGCCACAGGCCTTTGCAATGTAAAAGGCTGCAGCAAACCAATTATAGTAAAAAGAGTTGAAATAATATGAATTGTAAATATATGTCTAAACTGACCACGATAAAATGAAAAACTCATAGGAGGACAACAGAACAATCAAGATGAACATAAGGTAATTCTTGAGTGTGGAGCAAGACTACGAAAGGGGTGAGAAATGTGCAGGCACTGGTAGCTGTGAGATGGGGAGAGGCTGCTGGAACAGGGTCCATCTCAGAGACTCAAACAGGACAGACTGACCTAAGCAGTCACGAATGACAACTCTGGCTTCTCTTTCCTTTGATGTTGCAACAGTTCTATTTTCCATACTTTGTGAAACCTGGAGATTACTCTTCGCAATTGTATTTTAACAACTCTGCCGACGCGGCAATAAGGTGAGCAAAGGGAAAGATTAGTGGGGAAGCCGGGACAGCAAGGGATACTGGAAATAGACTGTGAGAGAGATTACAGTCAGCAGCGATGTGTCAGGAGGGATGAGCAAATCCGAGTTAGAAGCGCTGAGCAGTGGTGGGGCAGGAGGCAGGGAGGGTCCGGAGGAAAACAGGAAAAGGGGGCGGGAGTGGGAGAGCAAGCGTGCGACCCGGAGCCACGGGAGGAGCTGCTGGGGAGCAGCCCGGAGGCACTGCGAGGGCAGTCAGGAGCAGCCCGCCCGCCCGCCCCGCTTTTTCTTCCGGTGGAGAGGCCGCGACCAGTCACCTGGAGTGTGAGTTCCGGAGAGACTCGATCAGGCGCTGCTTCTGCTGCTGGAGGCTGGTGAGGCCACTGGGGGACCCAGCTGCGGAGGAGGAGGCGCTCTTGGTCAGGGGAAAGAGCCAGCTCATCCTCCTTGGGTCCCCGGGCCCGAGGCCCTGGAAGGCTCTGGCCTGCTTCTCCCAGCCGCTCGGCCCGGCGGTTCTCCAGAGACAGAGGAAGAGAGCGGGACGTCTGTGGCCCAAGCGCTGGCTACCGCGTCTTCTCTAAGCCAGCCCTGCCTGCGCTCCCCGGGCTCTGGGGGACATGCTATGAACGGCGGGCAGCTGGAGAGGGGAACTTGCCGACCGGAACAGGCAGTCACACATTCAAGGCCCAGACGCCCAAGCCGGTCAGTCAGGCAGCCCGACTGCTCAGCTATCCACCAGCCGCGCCGCCGTCCCCTACGTGCCCCGCCCTTGCCCTGCCCCTCTGCGTGCTGCGTCATCATCTAGCGCCCCCGCCAGGACGTGCGAAAAGCGACGGCGCCGCACGGTGCGGCGCAGCTCCGGCTCGCCTTTCCCCCTTGCTGGGCGAGAGGTGTCTATGGGGCGCCCGCTGCCGCCGCCGCTACCGCCACCGTCACCGCCGCCGGGTGCTGTCTCTATGGCGAGGAGGAGGAGGAGAAGCGCGAGCTCAGCGACCCAAGTAGATCTTGCATCTGCGGCAACCCTGCGGGGGGAGGGGAGGGTTAGGGAAGTAGGAAAGGGGGCGGGGACCATGAACCTGAGAGGGTGCGCCATGGCGCCAGCTGGAGTGCGGCTGGCTGAGGAAGGAGTCTGACGGCGGGTTGGGGGCTGGGTAACTGGGGCTGGGGGTTTGTCAAGGGGTTGGCGCGTAGTGATGACGCAAAGGCTTTGTACCTGGGGCTTCGTAGCGGGACGGAAATTGGAGGTGGAGGGCGATGGCCTAGATCTCAGCTCTTCGTATTCTCTCACGCGGCAGTGCTCGCGAGTCTGTAGCTCCAGTCAGTGTTATCAGGACCTTCGCAGTGGCACTCTGCCAGGGAAGAGAGTTATCTATGATTTGAATGCCTCTGTGCCGTTCTCTCGTTTCTGTGGGAGCCTGCATGCAGTACGGAAATGCTATCTCCAGTAATGAGAAGGCTTTTGGTGCCTCTTCGGGGCTCTTGGGACTGCAGTAGAGAGAGAGGTGGAGGAAAGCAATGTAAAACCACAGAGTCTTTCCAAGTCTCTGTGTTTGTGTGCGTATGTGTGTGTTTATTGGGGTGGGAGATATGTAAAGGAGGGATGTCCTGGATCTCCTTTGGTTTCTTTACTTGGAGAATTCAAAGTGATATTTCTGACTTTTTGGAGGTTAGAACAGTGGTAACCCTCTTTTTACCCTTGTTACGCTTTTTTTTTTTTTTTCCCAATTTATATGAAAAATGCAGAAGAATTTGAAATTTCTCTGCCGAGGAATCAACCTAAACTCTATATAAAGTAGAAATCTGAGCTGTATCTTTGGTAACTAGGGACTATGCTCTGATTTTTAGGCAATTAAAAACGATTTAAAATGCAGACATTGTATTGTGTTTTTTTCCTTCTGTAACTGCGAACATTCAATTTTCTTTTGCCGTTATTTTTTCTGAGAGCATTTACAAGCATTTTTGACATCTCTAGTCTAGTTTGAATAAATGCCGGTAAAATAGATCTTGTAATCACGTCGGATTTTTGGATGTTTTGTTGATGAGGAATAAAAGCAAACACCACCGTTGGCATAGTAACATCTGATCTTGTCCCATGTATTTAAGTGATTTTTATTTTTGTCTAGAAATGGATGGCTTTATAAGGTTTTATGCAGGGGGTTAGTTGAAGTCGAGAAATCTTTAGTGGAAAGTTATAAAAATATGATTCGTATGTATGCGTTAAAAAAAAAAAACTTTTAAAAAATAACTGATATTAGGACCAGGAAATCTGTGCTGTAGTTCTTTTTTTCCTACAAACTAGCTGTGTGACCTTAAACAAGTTACTTGCTAAACTTTGATTTTTTTTTATGAGTCAAGAAGTTTTAATAAATAACTCCTTAGGTTCCTGCCAGATTAATTATTCTGTGATTCAGATTTGAAATATCTGGTCTTTATATTGTTTTTTATTTTGACAGGTACATAAATAAAGAATACAGTATTTTATGAAACAAATCTTCAATCAAGTATAACATTTTGATGCTTGGCATCTAGACTCCCTTGTGCCCTCAGTATGCCAGCAGCAACTGTAGATCATAGCCAAAGAATTTGTGAAGTTTGGGCTTGCAACTTGGATGAAGAGATGAAGAAAATTCGTCAAGTTATCCGAAAATATAATTACGTTGCTATGGTATGCCCACAAGCAAATCTTTAAAACACTGCATATAAAGGAGGGAAAGGAAATTTTAAAGTCTTGAATTCAGCCCTTTTGGTTGATATTTTGAGAGATTAATTTCACCATGAAAAGAAAAATAAGTCGCTACCATCCAGCCATAAGCCATCAGGAATACACCTGTGATTAGGGGTTTATCCCTCATTGCAGTGAGGGAAAACACATTGGAATTCATGGGAACCATACGGCACTTGAGAAACATAGTGTTAGAAAGGATTTGGGCTTGCATCAGGTGGTCTTAGGGAAGAGTTAAGGAAGTAGGGCTTTACTGTGGATTGGATGTGGTCAGGAAGCTGAGGTAATTCTGTGATTGGATATCTTAATAAGTCTTAAATGAGAGACTAGAATGCTGGAATGAGGCTAAAGTTGCAGAGAAGGAACAGTCATTCATTTAGCCAGGATGGAGATACTTGGTCATTTTGTGGTTTGACATTGTTTATTTATTTATTTTTTGTCCTTGTTCAGACAGGATTACAGAGGGGCCTTATTTGAGGTTGAACTTCAGTGAAATTACGTTCAAGAGGAAAACATTAGGGCCTAGCTGTGGCCACCCGGTCTGCTCCTGTTAACACCAAAGCCTAGCTGATAGTAACACATCAGCTCCCAGAAGCTAGAGAGCTATTTCTCAAACAAAAAAAACTGATGTGCCAGTGAAATGTTGTTTGGTCTGCAATTTGTTTTCATGATTTGGATTTCCATGAATATACTGTGTTATTAAGCAACTCCGCTTTTGCACATACTGTTCAGTCTGCCTAGATGTCTACCCAGATGATTTTTCTTCTTTACGATTATACTGTGTATATCTGGTAACTACCCTACGGTTTTCTGGATCCACTAGATTATTATTAGCTCCGTAAAGCAAGGGGTCAGTGCTTTAATCATCACCCAACTCTTAGCTTAATAGAGAGAGGAGTTTTATAGTTATCCAGTAGAGTGGCTGTTCAATTGCACTGAATTAGAGAAATCAATTTCTTGACTGTTTTATAGTGACTTGATACTTTTTATTCTTAGCCCTGGTTTAAATTCTAATACTAAACCGCTGTATCTTTGTCTCAGTATTTTTAATAAAAATAAACAAATGCATTACTTTAGGGAGGAGCAGGTTGATTGGTTAAAGTATGAATGTTTCTGTATAGATGATATACTATTTAATAAAGGTCTACTTATGATTAGAACTAAAATTATATTCTTATCCAATGGAAATTCATAGTGAGCATTGATTTCTCAGACGATAAAGAGTGGCAACATAGAGAAGTGATAACATCCTACAAGAGTGAGTGGGTGGCATGCAGTTCTTGACAGTATATTTTCTGTGGACTATAGAGAGAATATTGTTTTGGCCAGAGAAATTAGGAGGCTAATGATGCTTAGGATTTTGGTGTTGAGAAAAACCTTGTCTCAGAGAAGCAATTGGAAAGTACAGGCATTTTCCCCTCTTTTAAACCAATTCTTCAAGAAATGTTTTAGCACTGGAATACTTTGAGCTTCTTTTCACCTATCCTTTGGGAGATAGAAATTTATGATTTTTTCCCCCTTTCTTGGGTATAGAGTAAGTATTTGGTTACATTTATCACATGTATCTCATAGTAGTAATTTGGATATATTTAAGAAAAGGCTGTTATGTTTGTAGAGTTTTATGGTTCTAAAAAGTAATGTTCCTTCTAGTTAAAAGATAATTTGTAATTGAATATAAATGTGTAGAACGTCACTTGTAGGATTCTTTGATTTGCATCAAAAGTGAATAAGAGTGTGTAGATTGTGGTTGTGACTCTTTCCTACATAATGAATCTTAAAACTGTTTTACAGGACACCGAATTTCCAGGTGTGGTTGCAAGACCCATTGGAGAATTCAGGAGCAATGCTGACTATCAATACCAACTACTGCGGTGTAATGTAGACTTGTTAAAGATAATTCAGCTAGGACTGACATTTATGAATGAGCAAGGAGAATACCCTCCAGGAACTTCAACATGGCAGTTTAATTTTAAATTTAATTTGACGTAAGTGTGAAATAACTGTATAACCCAGACTTTTTTTTTCTCTTTAGTTTAATCTTAGGAATTAATTTTTCTTAAAAGTATGGTGATGTGCTAGGTGAATTTGGTGTAGTTATCCTGGAAACGTAAAAGGTAATATTTCAAAACCATGGGTTTCTTTTTTACTGTAGGACCAAAAAAAAAAACTTTGGTATTACAGATTTTATATTTAAAATATAACTGCAACTTTTTTTGTATTTGGAAAACTTTGGGTATTGTTTCATACTTCTGGTAGAAAAAATAATCTTACCACATTAGTTTTACTTTTCAGAAATTATGTGTTCGATTTGAAGTATAGACTTCTTTTGTAATATTTATGCTGCTTGTAAAGATTTTTATTGCAGTCATTCCAGTTTATGAGTAGATTACATGTCAAATACAGTAAGATGTGCCTTGGAACCTTGGGTACAGTTTCTTTTCAGGTTGGTTTTATAATCCCACTTCAGCACACAAAACCTCTTAATTTGCATATAGGAGAAGTAGTAGTGTTCTTGAACCTGGTGTTCATCATGTCAGATTCTGCTTTGTAACTCAACCCCTGGGTCTCCACCCAGTTTTCTTTAGTTATAATATTTCTATATCATTAGTAGAAGTAGTCTTGGTAACTAAGGGAAGTTTTAGAGTGTTTTTGGAAAAGGACAGATTATTTGCAAACTGTAAGTTGAGTAAATAAAATAATATATCCTAAGTACAGCAGGACCTCAAATGTCATTTTCTTCAGCATTGTTTCATGGTAACATTCATAACATAAAATTTGATTCCTGACATGGGCCACTACCTGTGTGGAGTTTGCACGTTCTCATGTATATGTCGATTTTCTCCCGGGTCCTGTGATTTCCTCCCACATCCCAATGCTGTGCATGTTACCTGAAATGGTGTGGCTGAGTTGTCCCAGTGTGAGTGGGTAGGTTATCCGTGTGAGTGCATCATGCCACAGAATGACATCCTGACCAGGGTTGCTTCCCACATCGTGCCCTGAGCTGGCAGAAAAGGCTCTGGCTTTTTTCAACCCTCAAGGGAATAATGGTGTAAATGATTATCTTACTTGTTTTTATTAATCTTTCTTAAATGTACATAGAGCTCACATTTATTTCAGCGTTTAATATTAGAAGTACTTTGATCTTTATTTGGAAGTTTGGTGATTTTTTTTTTTTTTTTTTGTGACCAGAAATAGGCCATAGGAACTTAACTCTTGTTTTTATCAATTAGACTTTGGTAAAACTGGTCTTGTTATCCATCTTTTGGCTTAAAGTTGCAGTTTGCAAGAACTTACTGATAATGTTGAGTGAGTACTTAACTATATGATGCAGTATTGCAATGTTTTTCTATTTTATATCCTACATTTGTGTTATATATTCTAATATCTGTTAGGAAAAGTAGTAAAAGAAGCTGTAAGCAATTAATGGTAGTGCCAATGTACGGATTCTTTCTTCCTGTTCTTTGTTGAATAATGTGATATTTAATATATGCGATTTTACGAAAGTATGGCTTAGGAAAAGCAGAGTAATGATGTCTGTGGTACAGTTAGGGCTTATAATTACACTGTGTTTAGCCTGACTCTCTATTTCACTCTATTGGGTTATATATATATTCTATTGGATTTAGTACTATACTCTCCATTTGGAAACCAAGGCAGGCAGATTGCTTGAGGCCAGGAGTTTAGGACCAGCCTGGTCAACATACACTCTTGTCTTTCCAAAAAAAGAAAAAATTTAAAACTTAGCCAGGCATGGTGGCTGTGTACCTGTAGTTGTAGCCACTAAGGAGGCCGATCGGAATAGATTGTTTGAACTTCCAGAAGTGCAAAGCTATAGTGAGCTAGATTGCACCACTGAACTCCAGCCTGGGCAACAGAGTGATACTTTGTCTCTAAACATACCTGTATCTATTTACACACACACATATAACACACGCACTATAGAACCTTATAAAGTAAACTTGACCAACCAGTGGCCCAGGATGGCTTTGAATGCAGCCCAACACAAATTTGTAAACTTTCTTAAAACATTATGAGTTTTTTTTTTTCTTACAATGTTTTATGTGTGGCCCAAGATAGTTCTTCCAGTATGACCCAGGGAAACCAAAAGATTGGACACCCGTTATAAAGGGTGAAAAGTACTCATCTCTACTCAAACTGGTAACCTTTTATAAGAACTACAGCTTTGAAACACTGTGAAAATTGCTTCCTATCCTTTTCTCAAATGATAAACCTTTATTAAAGTTAGTTCTTTAGTTTGTTACTTTTTGTTCAAACGAATTAGAACATTGTTTTTAAATTAGATAATGTTGTGATCTGAGTACAAGAGAAGGAGATAACCCATCAGCGTCTCAGTTGGGGTAAAATTGACAGTTTCTTTTTCTAGAAATACCTTTGTTCTAGTAACAACTGCTTTATTAGTAGATTCTCTAAGTGAGGATCTTTTTTTTTCTTTCTTAGAAAAGCCTGCTAAAGTTTACTACAAAGTTTGGCTACAGTTTACACTAGGGATGTCTAATCTTTTGTTTTCCCTGGGCCACACTGGAAGAATTGTCTTGGGTCACACATAAAATACACTAATGCTGGCCGGGCGCGGTGGCTCAAGCCTGTAATCCCAGCACTTTGGGAGGCCGAGGCGAGTGGATCACGAGGTCGAGAGATCGAGACCATCCTGGTCAACATGGTGAAACCTCGTCTCTACTAAAAATACAAAAATTAGCTGGGCATGGTGGCGTGTGCCTGTAATCCCAGGTACTCAGGAGGCTGAGGCAGGAGAATTGCCTGAACCCAGGAGGCAGAGGTTGCGGTGAGCCGAGATCGCGCCATTGCACTCCAGCCTGGGTAACGAGCGAAACTCCGTCTAAAAAAAAAAAAAAAAAATACACTAATGCTAATGATAGCTGATGAGCTTAAGAAAAGAAAAACAAATTGCAAAAAAGAGAAAAAAACTCAAAATGTTTTAAGAAAGTTCACAAATTTGTATTCAGCTACATTCAAAGCCATGCTGGACCACATGCCGCCCACGGGCTGCAGATTGGACAAGCTGGATTTACACTGATGTTAGATGTTTAAGGAGAAGGATACAGTGAAAACTATTAGGTTGAAAGGTCATTTGGAAGATAAACCAGTAGTACTTAATAGAGAGTGTGCCATGAACAGAATCTTGGAAATTTTGAAGAAAGTGAAAATTGACTTCCTAATGGAGTAGAATGAGTGTCAGATACAATGCTAGACAATAGAGATACAGTGTTGAGGAAAGTTGGTCATGGTCTTTATAACTCAGTGTTTTATAACTCTTCTGTTTCCTCTCTGTTGCCAGAGTCCTAGAATTACAGTTGTAAATACCAATCAATCTATAAGAATTCTTTCCAAACTGAATTTGGAGTTGATATACCGATGAAAATTGGAGTATTGAGGAGCTGTGAAGAGGAAAAGCAGTCTGTGGAAATATTGTCATTGATAAGTCAAAAAGGATTAGAACACATTTTTTTAAAAATCACCTCTTTTCGTGATTACAGTAATTCTTGATATTTGAGGGAATCATTTTAATAGGGCAGTAGAAATTACAGGGCATCTTCAGTTCAGTGGTAACAGAAAGGAAGCTGATGCTTCAGTTAAGGAAAGTAGCAGTGAAAAGAAGGAGATAGTGAGTTCCATAAGAAGGGAGGCTGGGTGCAGTAGTTCACGCCTGTAATCCCAGCACTTTGGGACGCAGGTTGGCAGCCAAGGCAGACAGATTGCTTGAGCTCAGTAGTTCGAGACCAGCCTGGACAACATGGCAAAGCCCCATCTCTGCAAAAATACAAAAAATACATAGCCGGGCATGGTGGTGCATATCTGTAGTCCCAGCTACTTGAGAGGCTGCAACAAGGAGGATCGCTTAAGTCCAGGTGGTCAATGAGGCTGTAGTGAGTGGTGTTCAAGCCAGTGCTTCCTGGATGACAACCACACCCTGTCTCAAGAAGGGAAAGTGGAATCAACAGAAGGGTGGTTTTTATTTTGTTTTATAGATAATACATAGACATACCTGAGTGTTCAAGAGTTGAGTTGCAGGGTGTTCGGATAAAGATAGACACTTGACAAGTACTTTGAGGAATGGCATGGAATAGCATCTAAGTCATTGGCAGCAATTAGCTTTGGCGATGAGGCAAACTGTCTTCGGAGTCTAAAGGAAAAAGATCTTCAGATAGATGGGTTGATGTAAAAAAAGACAGGAATGTTGATGATCTGATATTTCTTTGTAAAGCAAGTGTAGGGTGAAGCCATATGCCGCAAGTAAACAGGTGAAAAGTGTTACTGGAAACTTAAAAGGTCTGAAACTACTTGTTTACCTATACCTTCGCAAATGGCCAAAAATGATGTGAGCCTGGGGAAGAAATCTGTTTTTTATGGCTTTGGTTGCTTATACTTGCTAAAGCATACCTCATTGTGAGCATTGGGACCTGATGACTGAAATACTAATTTTTTGAGTACGTATTTTTAGCCTAGGAAAGCTGTGGTTTAACTGGGGAAAAACAAAAAACTAAAGTACTTTCCTGGGTTTATTCTGTTACCCTTCCTAAAGGATTTTCCAGGGGAGACTTACTTTTAAGTGATTATTGTAGTTTGCCTCTATTTTAAAATATTTCCATTACTAGCTTTGTAATTTTTCAGACATTTAAAAATGATTTCCAGAGGACAAACCGTAAGAATACTTTTTGGCCCAAGTGAAATATACCGTTGGTTTAGTTTTGTTTAAAGTATTGAATAGGAATTCCTTTTGCCAAGAGGTAGAAACCATTATTCTTAAAATTTAAAAAGTAAATAAAAAGTTAAATGGCAGATTCAGAAAATACTTTTTCATTTATTCTCAAAAATACATCTGTATTTTAATAACTTTTAAAATATTTCAGATACACATACTGTGTTTTGGCAACTTTTGGTTTAATATTTCAGATAAACATAAATTTGTGGTTGGAAATTAGAGATGGCTTTCTTTTTGGTTTAAGTGAAATCTTGAAGAATTGGTTTATATTTAGATTTCCTGGCTGGATTTTATAAGGCAATCTTTTAGGAATAGAATTGTTGACAGAAGAAATTACTGCTATTACAGCATAGTCCTTAACTTTAAACAGTTTTGCTTATCGGAGCCATTTGCAAGGCTCATCATTTATGAAAGGCATCTCCTCCTTCTTAAAGATGAAGTGTAGTTTAACTCAACCACATGAGATGTTTTCCACTGGGTCTCCTTCCTTGTGCTGCTGAGACCATGGGAGGTGGGCATATCCCCCATAGCTGTGGCTGCAGCTCCACCTAGCAGCATTATAATGACTGCTAGGTCAGTAATGTAATGTAATATTCAGACAGAGAGTCTCTGAAAAAACTTGTCTGTCACTCTGTGGTGGTAGCCCCTGGTGAGTAGAAGACCCTTTTCCCAAAACCAGCTAAATGTATTTTAAGTATGAAAGGCTAATGAAATTGAGTTAATAGTAAGGATTAAAATTGCACCATTGAACTCTTTGAATGATTTTTTATTGTTTGAAACACTTTTCTGAAATAATGACTCTTGCATTTAAATTGCATTTTTCTTGCACATATGTAAAGCATTGAAACAGTTGGACTCAAGCCAGTCCTCTGTCTCCTTATTGGCACTGTAGTTACAGATGTAAACAGAAGAACAGCTTGTTTGAAGGAATGGCATATTTGAATCTTTCTCTTTCTTCTGCCAGGGAGGACATGTATGCCCAGGACTCTATAGAGCTACTAACAACATCTGGTATTCAGTTTAAAAAACATGAGGAAGAAGGAATTGAGACCCAGTACTTCGCAGAACTTCTTATGACTTCAGGAGTGGTCCTCTGTGAAGGGGTCAAATGGTTGTCATTTCACAGGTAAAACGACTGCATTGAAAATGCCATTTTTGTTTCCATCTCATACTTGCTCCACACTTACTTTGGTCACTACATTAGCAATTTCAGGCTTAATTCTAGAAAGAGTTGACTGCCATATAGAGTTGTCACCTAATTCTTAGAAGGCTAATGTTGTCTCCTTAAAGTTTAATTAAAAATGTGGGATCCATTTTTGCCTGTGAGAAACATATTGCATAGTAGAAAGAGTTCAGTTTCCCTAGAAAATGAAAGGCCCTAGTTTAAATCCGGCAATGCCGTTTGGAATTGGTGTTGCCCAGGGTTTTCTTTTACCATTTCTACGCCTTAGTTTTTAATATTCTACAAGAGACACCACTAATTTAGATTTACAAAAATCTATTGAGTATTTACCATATGGCAGGCACTGTGATGAAATTCTAGGAATTAAGCTGTGACTAAAATAGATGAAAATTCTTGTCCCCATGGAGTTTATATCCTGATGGGGGTGGACAGACAGTTTTTAAAAATAGAGTTCATACTGTGGTTTGTTAGATAGTGCTAAATACTATCTAAAATGAAACAGCAAAGAAAATGCTAGGGGTGTGTGTGTAGATGGAATTTAATTTTTTTTTTAATAATGTGATAAAGTATCCCTTAGAAGAAGTATCTTGAAGATTTAATAGTCAATAAAATACTTTATAAACAGTAAATTATCAATAAGTGGTGGTTTTTAATTCTTTATTATTATAAAACTAGATTATTTAAGAGTGTTTCTGGTAAGGAAACTAGTTCCTATTTTGTGAAAATAGACTTCCATGTATGAGAGTATTCCTATCTAAGTAAACTAAACTGATCATCCAGGGACTTAAAGTAACCTTCAGAATGATTTTATTTGGCTTTTGTTAGGTTTTGAAAAAGCATTGTGTTACAGAGGTGTTAATACTCTTTTACTTGGTTTATTTCACACATTTATTTTAAATCTGAATCTCCTGCATGGTTTAGCTTCCAGCTCTGACCTGTGGGATGTTTATAGTGAGGGACGGTTCATGTGGGCGACTTTGATGTGTACTAAGCAGAAATTGTTGAGTTGTAGGTACTGAACACACTCGACCTACCATCTTTTTGTCTCTTCTCCACTTGAACCCATACCTTAGGAGACACAACTTAAAGACTCTTGATACAAAGAACTTTTTTTCAGTCATTTTTACTTCCTAGACATGAAGATAACAAAAGAACTAGAAAGTAGTGTCCTACCCTTTTACTATATATGACATACCCTTTCATTTAAAGAATAGTCTGACAAAATACAGTGTACTAGTCACTGGGGTATTAAGATGAACAAAAGCGGGGTTCATTTATGTCTTCTTGGAGTTTAGAATCTAAGTCAGACTGATATGTTTGAATATCAAGATAACAGATTTTATTGCATTAAATATTAGCTGTTTTCCTCATATTCTATTTCTAGTAATAAAAAATAGTTTAAGAAGTTTATAAATCCTAAATACTAATGTAATTATACTTTTAATGTTAGTAGGCAAATGCTGGAAGGAAAGGTAGATAAGGGATGGGAGTGTCTAACTGGTCTGGGAGTGTAGGGAGACAGAAAGCTGTGGAAAAGTCCAGATGAAGGGATAAGACGTCTTGATTTGAGAGTGTAGAAGTTTGCATTTTATTATCCAGGAGAGTAGTTCTTATTTTTTACTACACTTCTTTCATATGCAACATTTCCATTAATAATAACTCTAAGGGAGCCAGAATTGTTAAGGAAGAGAGGGAGGGCCTACTTATTCATAAAGTCATGTAAGAGAAGTGAAAATACCTTGTTAGAATCTTATTCTTAGGATAAAGTATATGACCACCTTCTGTAAAAGATGGAGTGACTTGCATTACTTTTGCCTACTGAATGCCAGTTCTCCTGCTACATTTGCTAACTCTTCTGGCCAAGTTTCCAGTCATCTTTCTTTCTTTATTTTCATAGTTATTAAAAAAATTTTTTTGAGACATCTTTGGGCAGCTTGATACTCTCTGGTGTTCTCTATTCAAGCATCAGCAAAATAGTATTTTAGTGACCACAGGCTTGGTTTGGTAGTATAGATCTGTGTTGATGTCTCTGAATAAGAAAGTGATAAAGTTCTTAACACTGTTGTAAGATGACATTATTTTCCCATTATAGTTCTAAATAGTTTGTTTTCTCTGTTTTCGTGTGCACTACTCTGTAATTTTTTTGGAACGGCTATAATGCGACTTGCTTAAATTTGAATCAAAAAAAATTTTTTAAAAAATCTTTATGGTATTTATGTTTCCCTCTTATTTTACCCCTTTTATAGCGGTTACGACTTTGGCTATTTAATCAAAATCCTGACCAACTCTAACTTGCCTGAAGAAGAACTTGACTTCTTTGAAATCCTTAGATTGTTTTTTCCTGTCATTTATGATGTGAAGTACCTCATGAAGAGCTGCAAAAATCTCAAAGTAAGGCTTCAGGTGGCTTTATCTGTAACAGCACATTGTTCAGACCAAGTGACTCATGAGATCCTAGGCTGGGGTGTTGTTTTAAACCATATTTTAAAGTATTACATTAAATGCAATTATATTATCTGGTCATGTGATTCTTTTTCTTGCATAAATGATAATTTATAGGAAATCCTTTTTTCAGAGCTTCAGTGTATCTTGGCAGAAGGCAGAATTAGTTTTTAACACAGTGCAGTCTCAGGTCAGATTCTTGTCATTGCTTGCCAGATTGAAAATCACAAACCAAAACAAAAATTTGAGGACAGTGAGGCTAGTTTTTAACACAGTGCAGTCTCAGGTCAGATTCTTGTCATTGCTTGCCAGATTGAAAATCACAAACCAAAACAAAAATTTGAGGACAGTGAGGCTCTCGTATGTACACCAGTGTGAGTTCTTTCTCCCAACATGCATAGAATCTGTTCTTACAAGGTAGAATCTAAGGTGGCCAGCAACGTGCAGATGTATTCAGTAGTGTGGCAAAAAGAGTTTTTCTTTCCTTTTGGCTTATCTTAGCTAGAAATTATTTTGTCAGTTCTAATGATAGGATAATGTTTCTAGGATTAAACTACATAGCTGAAAGATTCCTTTTTGGCCAAAAGATGTTGGCTTGTTACAGTTAAGTCCTACAGGAAATGTGTAGGTCCTGCCTAGACAGTAGTAATATCCAGATGCTTCATAACATGTATTTTTAAATTCTAAACATTCTTTCAAGGAGATATTCTCTGATAAGGAAAAATGCTCCTTCACTTTGAGAACAAAATTACCTCTGGTGGGATGGACCCTGGGAATACAGTGGTTTTGTCTTTCTTAGGTGTACTCATTTAAGCTGTAACTAAAAAAGGAAACAAAAATACACTGAGGGCAGTGTGGTTGATACCTAGAACCTGCATCGTCTCTTTCTTCAGTGAAACAAAGGCTGATCAAATTTTCACCTCATTAGGTTTTAGAAGTGCAAGTAAAGTTACACTTTTAGATGGTGAAGACTTGAGCTTTGCTTTTAAGCCGAAAGAACATGGGAATTAAATAAGGAAACTTTTCTTTCTTTTCTTTTCTTTTTTTTTGAGAGGGACTCTTTCCTAGGCTGGAGTGCAGTGGTACGATCTCAGCTCACTGCTACCTCTGCCTCCTAGAATGTTACTACTATCTAGGCAGGACCTACACATTTCCTATAGTACTTACCTGTAACAAGCTAACATTTTTTGGTCAGAAAAGGAATCTTACAGCTATGTAGTTTAGTCCTGGGTTCCAGTGATTCTGCGTCAGCCTCCCAAGTAGCTGGGATTACAGGCACCCATCACCATACCCAGCTAATTTTTGTATTTTTAGTAGAGACCGGGTTTCACCATATTGGTCAGGCTGGTCTTAACAGACAACTGAAGATGAGAAACATTGTTTTGGCCAATGTTTACTTTTTAATACAAGACATGGTCAGCATGTGACTAGATAATTTTTTAAGAAAGATTATTTTATGTTTGTAGCAGTAGATTTATACTTCCAGCAAGTGAACTTGCCTCAGGGCATCCCTTGAGAAATGCAGCCCACCCTTTGGCACTGCATGCTGATAATCCAGGGCCTACATGTTTTCATTTAGCTCAGGAAACTTTTTTTTAATTGACATGTCTGTATAATGACAGTGTTCAGGAACAGGGAACCAAAATATTGCTCACTATGTGTGTATTACTGGGAAGTTTCTAAGTATAAATACTCTGAATGTGTCCTGAGTGAGCTGCTGTGTTAAAATTCAGGTTAACGACAAAGGTGCTTTTTCTGACCTATAGTCAGCCATGCTGTTCTGTTGAGTTCTGTTGTTCTCCTGAGCAGCTGCTAATGATACCTAATCCTCGTGCTATTTTTAGCACAGAAACCACAGCACAGAAGGAACTGCTGTGCAAAGCATTGTTCTAAGGCGGGATGTACAGAAGGGCTAGTCTACCGGTGGAGACCTTAACAATTTAGAGAAGAATTTCTGTTTTGTTGTTGGTGTTTGTTTCTTTCCTTCACTCATTCTCCTCTCCGTTTACTCTCCTTTCCTCTCCTTCCTTCTCTCTGTTATAAGTCTTTTCCTTTCCTTCTTTCCACTCTCATTATCTTTTTTAATCTTAGCAGTATTAATCCTTAGGTGGATTATAGCAGACCACTCTAAAGAGTTGGATGTTTATACTTGTTTTAACTAACAAAACCATAGTTAAGCATTTAGCATATTCTTAATGATTTGGTTATTCATAATGGCTTTGTTTTGTAAAAATTAAGTGCAAAACTATAAATGGACTGGTGGGAAGTTTAAGAAAATTTGAAAAAAAAATGGTGTTATACTAGCTATTCAGTTTCATAATTATTACTGGATTGATAGACTATGAGTATAGTTGATAAATATTACCCTATATATGGTCTGCTTCCCTCCTGTCTCTAGTAACGTTATTTACCTGTCATATGCCCTGAAACATGATGAAGATACATTTTCCCAATTAGGATCTCGTTTTCCATGAGTAATTCACATTCTCTGTTTCTTCCCCCCTAATCTTTATAAGGTTCACCTTTACATACTAAAGTTTATTTTTATTTTGGTTACTGCCTAAGTTTATAATTTGTGAATTCAGGCGTTGCAATATTTTTCTCCTTGATAAGCAATTTTTATTTCTTCTAGGGTGGATTACAGGAGGTGGCAGAACAGTTAGAGCTGGAACGGATAGGACCACAACATCAGGCAGGATCTGATTCATTGCTCACAGGAATGGCGTTTTTCAAAATGAGAGAAGTATGAAGACATCACTGCCTTTTTCTCAGTTGGTTGTTAGGTTGAGAACATAAAAACTTGTAATGATCAAAGATTTTGGGCAACACATACCTACTAAGTAAAGATATAATTAGAGATACCATATGAGTCATATCCACCACACTTAAAAGTATTCAAAAATAAGTCATCTTGAAATGTAGTTCATAAGGAATTGGGAGAACATGTTCTTCCTAGAACCCCAAATTTTAAAACGTAAACTACCTGAGAAATCATGTAGGTCCAACCATATTATTTCTCAGGTGAGAAAACACGCTAATAACTACCATGATTAAACACATTACTAGTGGGAAAAATCCAAAGTTCTTTTTGTAGACTCCATCAGTGCTCCTTCTGCAAGGCAAGGATTTTTAGGTTTCTTCTAGCATGGCTTTCTTTTAGGCTTTAAACTGGTGTTAAAAATATTATTTGCTCATGCCATTCTTCACTGCTTTGAAGATTTTATAGAGTAGGACTCAAGATTTTTACTGGATTGAGTCTTAAAAGGAGGGGTTGAATTCTGAAGGGATTAAATAAATCCAATGTAGTAGCTGAATCAGAAACCATATTAGGAAAACTGTCCTTAAATGACAAAAGGCAGAGATCAGTTCCTTGAGTATAAAATGTTAGGTATGGAAAAATGAAACCTACTGAACCCATATCTACTGTTAGTAATTGATACGCACAGATTCACCTAGGTTTAGGTAAACAGAAAGGAAAATTGGATGTACAGAAACAAAATAAGTGAGTTTTTTCTTGCCTGTACCAAAGTTTTCCCTTAAGCAAAAATTCACTTCAGATTTCGAGTATATTCTCTTAGAAATTAAATTATTGACTGAGGCTGAGAATTTAACTTTTTGTAGCAGTGTATTAATAGAAAATATTAAAGCTGTTGTGCTGAGTAGTATTGATTCAGAAGTGACTTGGACTGTCCATTCATGAGACGTAAATATTTTGTTTTGGACTCCTTCCCATTGTTTCATTAGATAATTGAAACAACCTTTTGGACTTTTTAGCTTTGCATTTTAAAAATGGCATAATGGTTTAACTGAAGGTAGATTTCTGGCACTAATTTATTTTTATTTTTCTTGGCTTCTTCAAGGATAGTAATAGAGTGTGAATGTTCAAATTTTACTGTCCATTAACTTTAGGGTTTATTTATCGGCAGCTCAGCCTTGCACATAGACTTAAAACAGCTTATGAACCTAAACTTTTTTCCTACCATCATTGGCTTTCTTCATTCTTACTGTTGAGTATTGTTAAATTAATGGAATAAAATATTTATTTTTCCATGATTACAAATTCTTATAAAAATGGTCTAAATGTTAATGGAAAAGACATGCATTTATGCTTTTTTTTTTGTAGTCTCTTTCTTTGGTTTCTGAGCTGTACTTTTGAGGACATTAGTCTTATTTATTGAACTTAAATGTGTAGCCTCAAAGGAACACCATAGAAAAGAGCTGTCATTATCATTAATGAACAGTCAGTACTTACATTGCTGAAATATAAATTAGAAGTGGTACCTTTTGGTTAAAATTATCTTTTTTTTTCTTCAAAATTCCTTTTTAGATGTTCTTTGAAGATCATATTGATGATGCCAAATATTGTGGTCATTTGTATGGCCTTGGTTCTGGTTCATCCTATGTACAGAATGGCACAGGGAATGCATATGAAGAGGAAGCCAACAAGCAGTCATGACATGAAATAGTCCTTTTATTTTTATTTCAAGCTACACACATGCTTGTATATAGGTTTTATCTCTGGTTGAATCCCTTGAACAAGAGACAGTACCTTTCCCCTGCCCCTTTCATGGCCCATTTTATTGTCTACCTTTCAGTACTAAGTATGACCGTTCCTATCTCAGATCTTAATAAAAAAAAAAAATGCATTCAGGTTAAATTTGGCCTTAATATACTTGTTAGAAAGCGTGTGTGACAGAGAGTGGGGAAAGCTACGTCACTGAATATTTTGATAAACTTTACCTACTTGAGTTGGGTTTATTTTTCCCTTTTCCTAAATTAACTAGCACTGACTGTAATTTATTTCCCTGTTTCATGTCTCTCCCTTTCATTCTGCAGGAGTTTTAGCTATTTGAGATTATGGACCATCAATTTTGCACTTTAGAGAGTGATTCTGACTCAAAACCTCTGTTTTATCAGAAATTCTGTTTTTTTCTTGATCTTAGCTGGAAAAATGACCATCTGCCAACTTTACACAGTATTTACTTGGTTTTGACCCACAGACTGTAGCACATTCATTGTGCTGTCAGTTCAACAAGATGAAAAAAAAAAAAAAAGATAAGGAACTACTGAGGAGCTTAGTAACTGCTGTTTCTGTACGTAGTGTTTAATCTTCCAAGCACATCTAGTGTCTGTCAGTTTCTAATTGGCATTGTAGGCAGCTCTGTGACTGAAGAATTTCCAAACCAGCTTTACACCCTTCAGGAAAAATCCCTTGTGATTGGATGTTCAGTATCTGCCAGTAAACTGGTACTCAAGATGTTGAAGCTACAGTTATTTTATGATAGCACACTTCCCTTGATCTGCTTATTTTTATTCCATCACTGTTTACCCTTTTTATTTTGTAGCCATACTTATGATACTATTGATTTGTTGGTTACACAAATCAATTTTATTAAAATCCAAAGATAACAAGTCTTTAGGTGTATTTTGTACCAAATTAAATTAGAAAACAACAATTGTGCTTGCTACAAAAGTAAATAATGGAGAGATTTGGTACAAAACAACAAAACACGATATATATATATATATATATATATATATATATATATATACACACATATATATATACATACACACACACACACACATATATATATAGCTAATAAAACTACCTGAGGAGTGTAATGCTTGTTTATTTTTTTGTGTATATCTTTGCAAACTATTTTATATATATTGACAAAAGAGACTGTGAAATATTTAGTCATGCAGAATACGTGACCAGACCAGAGCATGTGTAGGAAGACTTTTCAGTAATCATTAACTCTACCTTGAAATGATGGACTACAAGTTATAATGTGTTACCTACACTTACAATCAGAAATACTAGCAAATCTCCAAATGTTACATTGGTTTGTCTCCCTTGTACATTCTTTATTCATAATATTACAGTGCTGTAACTGGGTGGTCCTTTTTAAACAAAACATTATTTGCAAAACAGAGGGTATTATTTGTTTTTAAAGCTTTTGTAAATAAAGGCTTCAAAAATGTTTTCTTATAAATGTTGATGACTGGTGATGTTGTTTTGGAAATACTTATTTGGGTGATACTCTTTTATTTGGGCAACTCTTTCAGTAACTTCCTTCATTAACCCTAGATGATTATTAGTCCATTAATTGAAAAATCAAGTCTAACCTTTTTGCATTTCAAGTTTTGGCTTACTCTTGTTCTTTATGAGTACCTCAACTAGCTAATTAAGGACTCACTTTTATTTCTCCTTTCCAGGAATGCATTATTCTGAAGGATATACTTAGAAAGTAAATACATTTGATATAACTGTGGCTTTTAAAAAGTTTAGCACAATGTAGCAAGTTTCTGGCTTTGTCTTAAGTTAAAAATGAAGATTCTTTTCGCTTATGATTTGTTTTTATTGAGAAAACTACATTTTCTTCAGCTAATAGTTCAACTCTTCGTTGAGAAATCAATGCTGGATTTGAAATAGGAATGATAAAGTTTGTCTTTTTAGTAGCCACATAATTGCTCATAACTTATGTCAGTTCTGGCTTCTGTCCCTAAAAAGTATAGATAATCCTTAACTTACTATCTTCCAACTTATTGATATTTCAGCTTTACAGTGGGTGTATTGAGAGGTAACCCCATCAAAAGTTTAGGAACTCCTTAGGACCTACGATGGGGTTACACTGAATGTGTATTGCTTTTGCACCATTGCAAAGTCAAAAATTTTAAGTTGAACCAACTTAATTTTAAATGGGGCACTGTATGCTGCTGCCTGCATTAAACGCATTTTTGGTATTTTTTCAGATGTAACCTCATTGTAAGTTGAGCACTTGTACAGTATTTTATAATGTAGAGGAACATTATGACTTATTGGGTCTAAGCTAGGACTTTATTTTGTTCCAGACAGGCTGAAAGTTTGTAGAGTCTTGGTTTTAGACAGAAAATATTTGGCTGATAATTTTTTTAGTGTTCCTGAGCCATTAATTACAGAGTCATATCTTCTGTTAAATCTACTAAAGCAAGCCAGACTCAGCTTGTTGCTTGTTTTTATATGGCCCATGAACTGAGAATGGCTTTTTGTTTTAAACTGTTGGGAAGAATAATCAAAAGAATATTTCCTGACATCTGAAAATTACATGAAATTCAAATTTTAGTGTCTACAAGTTTTTATTAGAATGCAGCCACAATCACTATCTATGGATACATTTTTGCTACAATGGGAAAGATGAGTAGCTGCTACAGAACCTTTTTATGTCTGTCTCATTGTTTCACATTGCTGCTTGGCAAGCTACAGAATCATAGTGATGCAGATATGACCTGAAAGCATTTGGAATGTCCTGTATATTGCTACATTTATTAATTTTCCTAAACCAGTTCATGCCCCGTATCTCAGAAGAAGGAAAGTACACTTTGAATGTTACGCATTTAAGGCACACTGGAATGTGGACTATTTTATTATGTGGTGGTACATTTTGTTTATAATGCAGTGACACGATAACTGCTAAAAGAATAGACCGACAGTATCGGACTAACAAAATAGTCTCAATTCATGGGAAAGCAACATAAGAATTAGAAAATTTGAATGAAACGTCGCAGCATAATTTCACAAAAATAAGAAAAATGAGGCTGCAACTAAAATATTTAAAAGTGGTCAAGTTGTTAGCCAAGCAAAGAAAACCATTTACTAATGCTGAAGTCTATCATGCTTGAAGATAGTAACCAACCCAAAGAAATGTGTCCAGAGAAGATTAATAAGACATCAGCCTTTTGATGAGAATAGTAGTTTGAAGAATGAAGACTTTGGACACAACATCAAATGACACTGAGTATTATTATTTAACTTCAGTACTGCCTACCTTCATTTTTTGAGAAACCATTGCTGGATTTGAAGTGACTGAAGAATTTGTCACTGTAAATGGAACTACAAGTGGGAATATTTTCAAAAAAAGTTGAGAGACAGTACAACCTGAAGTGGAAAGATGTGATGGCAACTGACGGTGGTTAAAAAAAAAAAAAATGTATGGAGCAGAAAAAAGTTTATTTGGTCAAATTTATAAAGCTTGTGAAAATGTAAGTTGTTTAAAACCTATAGCTATTCACTTTATTATTCATCAGCAAGTACTTTACAGGAAATACTGGTGTTACTGAACTGGTCAACACTGAACTTCCAAGAAAACCAGATTCATGTACATTCTCACTAGACAATTTTTATTTCTTCCAACTTGATTAGATTTACCACACAGGTGTTCAGTGGCTTAGCAGTGCTAAAGATTTATTTTGATTATTTTGGGCTTGCATTGAAATTTTTCTGAATGAGAACATTCTCAACCACTGTTTTTTAACTGAGTGGCTTTGGAAATTAACTTTTGCCACAGACTTATGAAATATTTCTTAATAAATTTCACCAAACAACATAAAATACTATGGTAAACTCATTTCAATAAAAACCAAAATTTAAATAAGATTGTCAAGCTGCTTTATTTACTTCCTGTGCTATCAAAAGTCGAAACAGTGAGTACTCGATTGCCACATCCATTTTTAGTGGTTATATTTTCCTATAGCAGTTTTTTGGACCTTGATGCAGTGCAAAGAAAATTCTTAAATTTTAAAAGCATTTAACTGCAATTGAAGAGTTTCCTTTTAATCTTCTGTTGGAAATGAATCATCTTGAATGAATGACATGCTAAAGGACAGACACCAAAACGATGAATCCTACAGTTGCCTTACAAGTGATGAATATGCCTAAGTGAAATCAGGCTCATGGGTATATTTGTCAGTATTTAACAGTACCCCAAACTATTTGTGTGAAAAGACACTTGTGAAGATGAAATATGTGAAATCTCATTACAGATCAGCATTAACAGATTAACATTTTCAGTTGATTCTGATGAGGGAATACTAGCTTTCAGCCCAAATTGACCAAAATGTTACCTCCAGAAACACCTTTTCTCCATTAGTAGACTTCTATTCCTATAAAAAATTATACTCGATGTTTTGAGTTTTCAATTTTTAGAATAAAAATTTTGTGAAAGATTTTGAATACGTAAGTAGTGTCCATTATGTCTTATCTTGCAAAGCCTCTATTTGCTACCTGGCCTTTAAAAACAAAACAAAACAAAACAAAACAAAACAAAAACAAAAAAAACTTGTCCACCTCTAGAAGAAACTCAAGGGTCTGTATCTCTATGTCTGTCCTGTTTGCCATTTCATCTGCATTGTCATAGGCAGTGGCTCCTCTAGGTAGACAATCCAAGGTGGAATTAAATTATGAATGTATATGTTGTGTCATGTGTATAAAATAAATGTGTTAGAATTTATAATTTCTTAAACAGGAAAAACACTGATTATTCTGTGTGTAGGTACTTTGTAGTGAGGACCAGTTCACACATGCCATTTGCTATGTTGGTGTAATTTGTGTGAGTGTTTCATTCATACCAATGTTCCCTTTTATTTTTCTATTAAGACGTAATAGAAATGTAGAACTGTACACATCAAAGTCCTGCAGAATTTTCATTTCAGGTTTTAAAAGTTAAAGCACAGAGTGAAAATTCCAAGAAAACCAGATTCATGTACATTCTCACTAGACAATTTCTATTTGTTCCAACTTGTATTATATAGTTTTCTATTGCATTAGTCGGTTGCATTTAATGCTTAGTATAAAAGCAACTGAGCAATTTCTCTTGAGAAGTCTATTTCATTGCTTTGTAGCCATAGTCTGTAGTTGAATGAACCAAGCTACCTTTCTCCAAAATTACTCATTTTCTTTTTAAAGATAAACTGGTAAATACTCGTCTTTCTGTTAGAAATTTTTTGTACATAAGTGTTCATGAATATAATCTGCCCTCTTGCTTTATCATCATAGGAGGGGAAATTAACTGCTTTCACACACTTCTATTTGGGCTGTTTCTCTCAAAAGATAAGAATCTTTATTCAGTACCATACCAAGAAATTAGAGTTCCTTTAGCTTCAAACTTAATATCATCATGGCTTCCAAACTGTTAGGAAGCGCAAGTTTGAAGACCCAAGGGTACTTAATATTTTACATCGTATTAGCCATACCATAGGTTTTAAGTGTTTTTGATGGGGACCTGTTTCACTT